CCTATATAATAAGCAGGTGAAAAGTACATTCTGGCATTGTAATAGTTTGTATGTTTAGCTTAGGTACTGGTTTCTACATTATAGTCACATATATTCAGTGCATTTTTAAAGTATTAATGCTAGTATATCCTCTGAGGTTACCTTTTTATATATTAGTTGTCATTGAATAAGAAGAATTATAGAAATAATAACTCTTCATATTTCACTCTGCTAAACAAGAGTGTTAATAATGCCTTATATTATTTTTCAGATTGCAAATAGAAGAGTCTTCCAAACCTGTGAGGCTATCACAACAGCTGGAAAAAGTTGTAACAACCAATTACAAACCTGTTGCTAATCATCAATACAATGTAAGCCTTCTGCTTGTCTCTTTTCATTCTTTTATATCTTCGTTCTTTTCTGTATCATAGAGTCTTAGGTTTTCAAAGAACCTGAGCATTTATGCACCTTGCCATCAGGTGCTCAAAATACAGTATCTGATCTGGACTTAGTAAGGAATGTAACTGCTAAAAGTATAGAAAAGATATTCACTCTACATTGCAAGTTATATAATGGCAAAGAGAAGGCGGCCACTGTCCAAACTGCCCTTGATAAGTTTTTACAAAGAAATAAAATACTTCAATTCTCAATGTTGCTAATGTTTTAAATTACAATGTACTAAATAAATATTAGTTTTACTATTTTTAAAAATTATTCTATACCTTTGTGATGAACCATAGGAAAGTTTTTAATGTGTTAACAAAAATTTTTAAAGGTCATGGAACAGTGGTAATTTTTCTCATCGATTATTAAGATCACTTTGCCTGGTTTCAGCTTTCACAGGCATTTTAATGGTCTCATACCACCATGCGAAGTGAGGACTATCTGTACAGTAGTACTCCCTTATCCACAGTTTCACTTAATGCAGATTCAGTGACCCACAGTCAACTACAGTCAAAAATTTTGAATGGAAAATTCCAGATATAAGCAATTCATAAGTTGTAAATTGTGCAACCTTCTGAGTAGTATGATGAAAACTAGCACCATCTTGCTCCATCCCATCCATGATGTGAGTCATTCCTTTGTCCAGTATATCCACATTGTATATGCTACCCACCCATTAGTCACTTAGTAACCCTCTTGGTTAACAGATTGATCGACACATGATAAAAAGAAAGGAGGAGAGTGAGTACAGAACACCAAGATATTTTGAGAGAGTGAGAGAGAGAGACCACATTCACAGACTGTTACTACAGTATATGGTTATTGTTATTCTATTTTATTATGGGTTATTTTTATTAATCTCTTACTGTGCCTAATTTATAAATTAAACTTTATCATGGATATGTATGTATAGAAAAAACCATAATATATAGAGTTTGGTACTATGCAATTTCAGGCATCAAGTGGGGAAGGGAGGTGTCTTGCAACGTATCTCCTGCCAATAAGGGGAAAGTATTGTATATTTATATTTCAAGACATTTTTTATTGTTGTGTATCTTATATATACTATATGTATTATACAATATACACATTTGTTGCATACATATTATGTATACTTTGTGCCAGGTATTGGTCTGAGTGCTTCATAAGTGATCACATTTAATCTTCATTCCAACCCTATGAAGAAACTACAACAGATAAGGTAACAGGCAGAGAGACTGATTTACTTGAGGTGGCGCAGCCAGTAATTGATCAGTCCAGGTATTGAACTCAGGCAGTCTAGCTTAGGAGCTATACTGTTAACCACTGTGTATGTTGCTGCTGGTGATTAGCAGTTGCTAAAAGGGCTAAGGGTTTTGGGTTTTGAAATATTTATAATGTAGTAAGTGTGATGGTTTCCTGAAAATAAAATACCCAAGTTAAGTCAAATAGCAATTAACAGCTGGAATTTTATGTCCCACTTTGTTGTTTAAGATTACCTTTGATACTGAGTTTAGGAAAAAAATTTTCTTTAAGACTAGCCTTGGCGGGGTACGGTGGCTCACACCTGTAATCCCAGCACTTTGGGAGGCCGAGGCAGGCGAATCACCTGAGGGTCAGGAGTTCAAGACCAGCCTGGCCAACATAGTGAAAC